TGCTGAGTTTTTCCTGATGTGTTCTCCAATAAAATTACCTGTAAGGGTTATCTATGTTTCCAGCCATTCCAGATATTATAGTACTTGTTGTTTCATCTTCTTGTTTCTGTTGGCAATTCCTCAGTTTCTTTTCTTGGAGACTACAAAAAAGGGGTAAATGCGATGAAGCAGAATGCTAAAGTTCCCAAGAACAGAAAGTTAATAAAGCAAAAACACCTCGGCATGAATAATATTAAAAATTAATACGAGCAATTAAGTTTCCAAACAGAGAACATGACTCATATTGATTATCTCATTCTTCTGCAGGTTTTATAGCAATCATGTAAAGTCTATCTAAACATTGAAGTCCCGTAGTATTAATCTCTAAGGGTAATTAATTTGCAAGAATTATTGATACCCTCTTACCTAGATTGCTCATAAAAATATACCCTATCCTATTGGATATTTTTTTAATGTTTCATTGGCAGTTACCAAAGATAATGGTTTAATAGATATAGGAGGCCACATTTAAGAATTTTTTTAAAGAAGGATACAACTTGAAAGGGTAGCAATGATAGTATTTTAAATACCCATTTATATTCTTAACAGGAAAATACACACACACACACACACACACACACACACGCGCGCGCACTCTTAAGGACTGGGCAAGGGATTAATCCGTAACTCAATAACATTTATAGGGTAAGGCCTAATTTAGCAAGTACCGATATTTAAAAATTATCCTAAGCAAAGTATAATTCTTGCATCCTTGTCTTCAGATGCCTTTTTTGAATGCAGGTGCAAGACATAAAGGGCAAGGACAGGTCCTTCAGGTTTATCTGACTGAGGTACCTCTTATGGAAGAATACAAAAGAAATGTTTTGGGTAAAGATGGTTTTTCTTTACATCATACCTGGAGGCATTTTAGTAGTCACATATCTTATTTTTTTAATGTTCTTCTTCATTCTCCTCCCAGCCCCACCCCTTTCAGTGTTCATTTGTGCATGAAGTATGGCAGAAGGGTTACTTGGCTTTAGTTTTCAGATCATATGGACAAAAGTAGTTGGAAAAAATAGCTTCCACTCATTAAAAGCTAGAATCTACAGACATTTTATGAGGCAGTCTAGTATACAAGACCAAATAATGGACCTGGTGTCAAGAAGAGCTAAGCTCAAGTCATATGTCTGAAACATACTGCCTGTGAGCATGTGGTCAAGTCATTTAATTGAACCTTAGTTTCTTCATCTGTAAAATGATGATAATGTCTGTAGCACCTACCTCACAGGGGTAGTGAGAAACTCAAATGGCACTTTGCAAACTTGAAATATAAATGTCTACTTTTCTCTCAAATATGACTTGAATGAATAAAAAGGCATTTGTTAATCACCTACTGTATGCCATGCACTGTGCCAAGTGCTGGGGATACAAATACAAAAGTAAAACAATCCCATATTACAATCTGTCCGTATCTCATCGGGTTCCACTTTTATTCAGATAATTTCATAAGTCCTTCATCATAGGGATCTATTCTGTTATCTGTTGAGGGCCTTTCTCCTGATCTGTTAACATCACATTAAATACCAATGGAGCAAACAGGCTGCCTATCTACTCTTTTGTCCTCACTATGTGGTCTCCTGTTTTAATTGTACATCTCCTTGATAATATTGTTTACACTGCTTTTGACACACATTTCTTCGTTGGCGATGTGTTGCAACCTATTCATACTCACATTGCTGATTGGGTGACTTTCTTCTTTATTTCTTGGGAGATTTTGTTACTCCATTATTTGTAGTTGTATAGCATCATTGGAAGGATACTAATTTTTAAAAAATGGACCATCATTTCCAGAAAAAGCATCAAGGTAAACGTACTATGCAGTTTCTCAAATGCAATCCAGTGTACTGTCTTCCTTTTCAATTCTGAGCCCAGCTCACTGTCAAGCTTCAGTGTTTTTGAAAGATTTAGAAAAGCTCTATGGATTGTCCATCCCACTTTATATCATCGTCTGGACAATAGTCGTAATTCATCCACTTGTTTTTTTTTTTCTTCATGGTTTATTGGACTGAGTGATTATAGATCCCATTTGGGAGGCTCTGCAAAGTTCTGGGACTTGGTGAAATCAGGACAATGTCAACTGCAAAAAGGGACATCTAGAGGACCTTACCATGTATAGGAGACCCTCCTCTGTTGGCATTCGTTACTAGACATCCATCATGACAGCGGCAGACATCTTTGGAGAGCATGTCATCCTGTCTTATTCTTCACTTGATATTAATAATTAGAGGGTTGTTGAATTAAGTTATAGGTATTGTTGCATCTTATAAGTGATTATGCATAATTTTAACATATGCATGAAAGACTGCTTATTAGAACAGGTTACATTTTTCTGTACTGAATCAAATGATTTTTCATAGCCAACAAGCAATAAGCACAGTGGGATCTCATATTCTCCACAACGTTCAGTCATTTCTGTGGCTGTATAAATATTGTTAGCTGTAGAATGTCCTTTGTGAAAACCTTCCTATTCTCTTCTCATACCTTCATGAAGAATTCCTTTGATTCATGTTTAAATTATTCCCATAAAATAGTTATTGATATTTTCTTGGTCACCTTTTTTCAGTAATAACAATGTCTCTAATTTTTTCCAAGCATTTGGTATTCTCTCCTTTCAAATATTTCAAGGACTTATCCCTGAATACCTTCAAAATTGTGTTACTTTTAGCATAGCTCTGGGCTTTATATATATTTGATGTAATCCAGTTGCTCTTTCTGTCTTTGTTTTCTTTATTTTCACGGCTACTTCCTCATCTAGTGCCTCAAAACTACAATGGTAGTGCTTGACAGTGATGGTTTTATAGTGATTGATGAAGAAAATAATTTCTTATCAAAATCTTAGCAGATCTCTTTCTTTTCTTTGTTGTCCTTCTAAACTTATCTTTAAATATTCTTGGAATGATCTGACTTAATTGGGTCTATTCACCACGTTCTCTATAAGATGCTTTTCCCTTCTCCACTTATCGTTGTTTTGTGAATCATTTTTTGAATGAACTTATATTTATATTTAATTAAAATTCAATTTAATTAAATAATTTAAACACATTAATTTATTAATTAAACTTAATTGAAATAAATTTAATTTTAATAAAATTTGATATAAATATAAATGTATTTAAGTTATATTTAGCATTGCCTATGGCTTCCATAACACTCCGCTTGGCAAATAGATTATGTGTTTGTTTGTGAAGCACTTTCTAGGCTCTTTTGGAATCTTCATTGTGACAACCAATTTACATTGGTTAAACTTCATTAGGAAACAATGATAGCTTCTGTTGGTGTCTGCTTTTTTACCCATATCCTATTTTTTGGTGTCATCAGCTTGTTTAAATAGGTCAAGTTGGAACCATATATTCTCATTTTTATTTTGTCTTCTAATTTGGTATTGATTTTGACATTTGCCCTAACAAGTTGATGGTCAGACTGTGTACATAGACAGCTGATTTGGAAACAATTCCTATATTAGTAAAAAGTAATTTTCTGTGAAAATATAGCAAATTTAATTTTTGTGTTGTTATTCTATGTTTACTATGTCTAGTGCCTTCCAATTTAATTAGTGGTTAGGTAAATATTTATAAATGGACTACAAGCTGCAATTCTTAGCAACCTTTCTCTCCTTTACCACCACTCTGCCATAGTTACTGAATAAGTAGAAGGGAATCATAAAGGTTGGAGGACAGTTTTGTATTTTGTTGTTTCACAAGTTATTCTGGCCAAATAAGTCATCAAACTTGACCACCAAATAAGTGGTCAGTCTATTGGTAATGAGTTTCTCCATACTTAACTAGGCTGGTCCTTACAAAGTACATACAATCTATTGTTGGGACCATATTGAGATTTACAAGTTTGCTAGGACCATCCAGACTTTGCATTTTGCCAGTGTTTTCTTTGAGGATGCACAGTCATCTCCATGCCATGATAAGGTATCTCAGTGGGACTTTTATGGACATTTCTTATGGGAAGCAGTAGGTCATAGAGCAAAGAGAAGGCATAGTATACTCATTAAAGTCAATTACAAAGCTTAAAACCAAACAAAGGGTGGATTTCTGTGTTTACTAATAGGTAACACGATAAAATTGATTTTATGAGGAATCATCACATAGTATTGTTTAAAGTGCCTTTAATGTTTATTATTTAAGCAACCAGTGCAAATAAGGACTCCAATAGCTGTTCTATTGAGCAAGAATGGATGCTAGTTAAAAATTACTCCCTTCCCCCCAAGAAATATATGTCATAGTTTCAGTTACAAGGAACAGATAAAAAAGTTTCACAGGAAATTTTCTTCCTCAGGGCTTCCGCTGACTTGGGTTCCTTAAGTTAAGGGATCAAAGTGGTATCAACCTTTGATCGTGATTTGGAAGTGGATTGTTCTAAAACTAGTGTAAGCTTGGGAATATAAGAAAAGGAGGGAAAATGTTTCGCTGTCTATTGCTGAAGGCCAAAGAAACCCACTGCTTAAATTAAGGGGCTACTTCTGTTCTTTGTGTTGACCAGGATTTGCCTTCTGCCTGATTAAAGATATGACAGGAATATAAGAATTTTTGTTGAAGGAGGGCCTAGAGTCCTTAGAAAACCAGTCATCTCTGTTTCTAATTAGCTGTCTTAGTAATGAAGTTGTATTTGGTATGTAACTCTTATATTATCCAGAAAGATATTTCAAATTCATCTTGAATTTGTCATTTGTTAAAATATGTGCAGGAACATATGAGGTGTATTCATTCCTTAGTGGTAATGTTTATATCACACACACACACACATACATACATATATATATATATATATATTTTAAAAGTCAGTTTTTCTTCAAAGCAAATAATTTTTTCTGTGTTACATGGTTTGGAGGGAAACAGATTTTATGCATCCTGTGAATTGATTAACTTAATAAAGCAGCAGGTAAAACAAACCATCTTGAGAAAGATGCTTTGGTTTTACAATAAAACTAACGGAACATTTGCGCTTTTCAGGGCATGTAACTCAATTTTTACAGCACTTGACCACTGTCATGAAGCCATAGAAATAACCAGCGATGATCATGTCATTCAGGTATGAAAAAGAGTGTTTGTTTTTAAAAACATAGATGGGAAATGTTTCTGTACTTTGCCATGATATCTGATATAAGTCCTTGACCTAAGTAAAAAAAACAACACTAAACATGCATAATTTTCTTTCTTGAACTAGGGTCAGGTCCAAGCTTTAGTTAACCATTAAATTCTCATCACAACCAGTTTCTGATTAGTGTGAATATAATGAATCCCATGGAGCAGTCACACATATTCGACTTCATACTACTGGAAGTTATAATTCTGTAAAATGTGGTAACTTGTTCCGGTCCAATGGAAAGATATAATGCTAATTTAAATAATGTACCCATTTCACAGGATTCATTATTTACACTAATCAGGACTTAATTGTAATTCCAGTTCCATTAATTGGGAATCTGTAATCCTTAGGAAATAGACAGTATTGAAATTTTTCTTTGCACTAGCTCTCATGCTTAGTGGTTAGCAGCATATAAATAATGTTTTTAGAGGAACCCATTTACTCACCAACATTTGGCACGCTGGTGTTAAACCATTGTTTATAATCACTGAAGCAAATTTCTTATATGTTTGAATTATGTAGTTTTTTTTTCCAGTTTGTTTGGACCACTGATTTTATTGATAATAGGGAAATCCCAGAGAGAAAATTTGCTCTACCACTTCACCAAGGCAACATCTCTATATCTCATAGTCTTAGAGAATTATCTGAAGCATTGAGAGGTTAAGTGATTTGCCCATAGTCACAAAGCTAGTAAATATTTGAGGGAAGATTTGAACCCAGATCTTCCTGACATAATAGGCTGGTTGTCTATCTACTATGCCTCTGGGTTGCAATCATTAAATATCTATAATAAAAAATTGCCCTGCTTTTAAAATTATCTCCAATTTCTATTTTTTAACTAAGTGAAGTAACTAGATGACAAAGTGGATAGAGCACTAGGCCTGGAACCAGGAAGCATTGAGTTCAAATCTAACCTCAGACACTTACTAGTGACCCTGGGCAATTCACTTAACCTTTATCTGCCTCAGTTTCCTCAATTGTAAAGTGGGGATAATGACAGCACCTGCCTCCCAAGGTTGTGAGGATCAAATGAGATGACATTTGTAAAGTGCTTAGCACAGTGCTTGGTACGTAACAAACACTTAATAAATGCTCATTTCCTGCCTTCCTAATTAAAACTGTCTTCTGCCCCAGTTACTTTTAAGTTGGTGAGATTTCACTGTCTGTGAGCAGTCCAGGCTGCCAGCAGTAGGAGATGAGCTCACATCACTGAAAACATAATTTTTATTCTAAGCTCAGTGACAGTGATAGACAAGATTGAGCAACTGTCTGTCAGTCAGGCGATTTTTATCTCGTCATCTTTTGCATGCCACCAAGATCACCAACAGATGGCAATTTTTAGAGCATTGGCCTCAAATTCCACACTCCTAAGCAAAAATTTTGAAAGGGACCTCCTTGATTCCACTGTTCCCAGAAATGTCTTCCTCGTGCTCCTGGATTGTCCTCTTTTCACATTCCTCCTTTCCACACCTTTTTGAAATCTCTAGGAATAAAGGGGTCCCTTAGGTAGTACTTATACCCTAGGTAGAAAATGAGAATGAATGAGAAAATTATGCAAAAAAAATTAGGTTCACACTTTACCAGTGGCAACTGAGTAAAAGATGGGGGAGGAAAAACCACTGTTCAGTAAAGATGCAAAACTTTTTAATTGCTTAAGCCACAATCTGTTGGATGATTTATTTGATTTTAGCTATAGATTTGATATTTCTTTTCTGAGTGCTTATCCATCAGAGACTATGGAGAGTGACAAAGGATGTATACCAAGTTGAGGGGTCTTGACCCTTTCCTAATGAAATAACTTTTGATTTTCCCCCAAATCTTGTGATCCCTGGCAAAAGGTCTATGTGGGTGTGGGGAGGGGAAGACTGATAGTGTTAATTCCTAAGTTGGGAAAGAGGTATTGTAATGGCAATTGGTTCAAGCTCTCCTTTGCTCTCAGAGTTATTGTAAGCTGTTTACTGGAGGAGATGTGTTAATATGGCAGCCAACGTGAAAATCACACAACTTAACAGAAAAGAGAACACATTGATTCCTCTTTTACCTCACCTGGAATTACCTGTCTCTATCAGTATGTCAACCCCGCCTTCGAAAGGATGATGGGCTATCACAAGGGAGAGCTTATAGGTAAAGAACTCACTGAATTGCCCAAAAGCGACCAAAACCGTGCAGATCTGCTGGATACCATCAACACGTGCATCAAGAAGGGAAAGGTTAGTGAACATTATTTCCACTCCTTCCAGGAGATTTCTAGGAGTCCCCATTTTGTGATTTTTAGAATAGTTACAAATATTGTAATGAGTTAAAACACCTAGTTTCTATGTGCAAAATATCTCTTTGAGGTGTCTTTGGACCTCCTATATCATAGGCTGGGTTGTTTCATGCCTGATAATCTCCATAGCATTAGTAGTTAATCTGTTTTTAAAGAAAACAATTCTTATACACATATCTTCACTGTTCCAGATTAATTGATTTGGCTATCAGACAATCAGTGAGCATTTTATTAAGTGCTCGCCACATGCCAAGCACTGTGCTAGGCACTAGAGATACAAATACAAAGAAAGAAATGGCCCCTGCTCAACTTAAATTCTAATAAGGAAGGCAACAAGGTCATATGTAAGTATATGTAGTGTAAATACAAAGAGAATAAATATAAAAATGAGATGTTTTGGGAAGAAGGGAGGAAACTACCAGTTTAAGAGATCAGGAAAGACTTGAGCTCTTGATGGAAGGGAGGGATTCTTTGAACCAGAGGTAAGAGAGGGGAAGGTGAGGAGGGAGGTTCTGGGATAAAGAAGAATTCCACGTAGTGACTTGCTGTGTGTTCTCTTTATCCAGAGAAGTCTGTGTTCTCTATATATCTTTATCTGGTTGACTACATATGTATATATGTGTGTGTGTGTGTGTGTGTGTGTGTGTGTGTGTATACATACATATACACACACACATACACATATGTATACATATATACATATACATATATGCATATATACATATATAATATGCATATATGTATATATACATATATACATATATAATATGCATATATAAGTATATACACATAAGTATACATATATACACATAATACACAGATATACACATATATACATATTTAATAACACCAGTAACAATTCACATTGTACCCCTCCACTCATTTGATTTGCCCTGATGGAGATACCTTTCTTCTTAACGCATTTACCTATCCATTTGTTTCAACCAGCTTTGGTCTAAACAAAGATGACACTGCATTTGTAGTTAGAGGCTTATATTTTCTCTTTTTATAATTGAGGAAATTGAGTGCCAAAGAAATTAAGTGACTTTTCCAAGGTCATAGAGGGTGTAAATTGCAAAACCAGAATTCAAATTAAGTTTTAACTGGGTCTGGTACAGTGTTCTTTCTACTGCACCACACTGCCTGATCTGTAAGTAGATCTGCCCTATAGCAAACTGTTTGATGACCTGGTTGCCAGACACACATCATGGACAAAAGCCAGAACTACTTGTTCCTGAATCATAGAATTTTGAGAGTTCAGAGTGGCCACCTAGTCAACCCAAATGTCAGTCATTCACACTATAAATTCCCTGGAAAGTGGCCAATTCCTTGAGTTTATAGAGTCCTTCCCCATGTCACACCCCATTCGCTGCCAAGTTTCATCACACTTTCTTAGCTGTTATTTATCTTCCCAGCCATGATGTGAAAAAGACAGGTGTTCAGCTTATAGGAAGATCAGCCAAAAAACAAGCCAAAATAAGTTGGTGATCCATCAGACAGGATTCAACCAGTTGGACCCTGAATGGGAAAAGTGGGAAACAAAAGTGAAAAGAACATATCAGTTGCTAAACAAAGCCCAGGGACTTGTTAAAAACACATTAAAATGTGTATAGAACTGTCACACCGTTCCAGCTGTAGTCCCTGAACAAGGTATGAACCAGTTAGCTATAGTGAGACAGGAGCATGAGGAAAGAATAGCCAAAAATCACTCCTTTTGTCCCACTTGTTCCTACATTTGGGGTAGCTAGATGGCGCAATGGATAGAGCTCGAGGCCTGGAATCAGGAAGACTCATCTTCACGAACCATTTGCTAGTTGTGTAACCCTGGACAAATCACTTAACCCTGTTTGCCTCAGTTTCCTCATCTGTAAAATGATCAGGAGAAGGAAATGGCAATCTACTCCAGTATCTATACTAATAAAACCTCAAGTGAGGTCAGGAAGAGTCGGATAGGACTCAACAAAAACAACAACAAAGACTATTGAACAGATAAGGGCACAAATATTGGGGCAGCTAAGTGGCACAGTGGATAGAGTGCTGGGCCAAGAATCAGTAAGACCTGAATTCAAATCTGGCCTCAGACACATACTAGCCATGTGACCCTGGGCAAGTCACTTAACCCTGTGTGCCTCAGTTTCCTTATCTATAAAATGAGCTGGAGGAGGAAATGGTAAATAACTCTAGTATCTTTTCCAAGAAAACCCCAAAAGGGATCGCAAAGAGTCAGACATGACTGAAAAACAACAACATAACATCAAAATGCCTATGATGTTTAAAAAAGTTCCCAAAATCTGAATATTCAAAGGATAGAGAATAGTGACTACTCTCATCCTTGCCCTCATTACTGCATACTCTCCCTTCTCTTTTAAAGTTTATAACAGGAGGAAAGGCGCAATCCTACGCTAGCCTCTTCCAAGACCAAGGAAAAAATTCCATGTGTACTCCTAGAGTGATCCTGGCAGGGTTCTTTGACTTCCTGTGGAAATCCACAGTGTGAGGTTGGATTAGATTCCTTGCTTCCATCCCCCCTATTCTTTCTTCCCCTTTTTCTCTCCCAGCATTCATTTTTCTTAGCCACAAAATGGACATAGCAATCACAACAGAATTACTGGTTGTAAAGCACTTTGCCGATATCACCACTCGATGCCCATTAGCTTTTGTTGGAGAAAGATACTTGAGAAACAGCCTCAAGTTTAGTTACTGCAAGTATTTTTACATATGGAAGCCTTTCCCACCCTTTTGAAATCAAGTCATTGGGACTTTTTTAGAACAAATGATGAATAGTGACTGAGAAACTTTACTATTTCTCTTCACATAGGAATGGCAAGGGGTTTACTATGCCAGAAGAAAATCAGGAGACAGTGTTCAACAGCATGTGAAGATCACACCAGTGATTGGCCAAGGAGGGTGAGAAATGAATTTTGAACTTGTAGCAAATGACAAAGACCAAGATTCAGTTGAATGTATTGTGTTTTCTTTAGCAAGTGTTACCATTACAGATTCATGGATATATCAACATCTCTATTTAGGGCATGGTTATCAAGATAGGCTCTGTTCATGTGGGCTATCTGTGCCCAAACTGTGGTAGAACCTTCTGAGCTCATATTGGTCTGATCAGCAGCAGTCAGACGCCCTGTACCTTGACTCCAACATAGTGATGTCATTTTGGTCCTCTTCAAGAATGGACAACCACCACCACTACAGAAATAGGCAGGCCATCTGAAAAAAGAAACCCAAGGCAAAGCTGTTCTTTTCCCTTCCCATCCATCGTGTCTTTCATAACACTATATCATATCCTTCTCATGTTTTTTTCAGGCTCCCAATCTCATGGGATGACCTTTGCCTTCTCTTCTTAAGGGAAGGAGCTCTGGTCTAGCCTGACCTACTGCATTCTGCTACTTCTTCTTGAAAGGATAAAACTGCCAGACCCTCTATAGTATGTACGATTATTCCCCTCCAAGGCTCCATATTACTCCCCTTCTCTTTGCATCTCTGAGAGGATAATTCAGCAGCTCCCAGGCTGCTTGGCTGATAGAGGTAAAGAATAGAGAGGTCATTTGATTGAGGAAGAAAAACATGTTAGCCTGGAGCTGGTGAGATCCAGTTTCATTTAATCTCTGATCTTAAAGAGGCAAACAATTGTTTTATGTCACCATAAGGGAAGGTAAATGTGCAATTTGATTTCCTCCCCAATGTGAACTTTGTGAGAAAGTATACTGGGCCAAACAGGATACAGTGTTATTTAATCACTTACAATAAATTACTGATTAGGTTTTGTAGGTTAACCTGAAGTGTCAATACCATTTTAATAGCATATGGCAGTATGTGTACATAAGAGACACATGGGATTATACAAAATTCTTTAGGGGAAAGAAAAGGCAGGGACAATTTTGACAACCCAGGAATGAGAGGAGTATGTGAAGATTCATCTCTTATGAATGCCACTTGATTTGCCAGTACTTATGTTGTTAGAAGAACTACACATCCAGTATAATGATCCAGTTCAATAAATAACAAATGCCTATTGTGTGCTGAACCCTGGGTTGGGCTCTGGGGGATGGGAGATAGAAGATGAGAATAAAATAATGCCTCAAGTTGCTTTCAATTTCACAACAATCCTATGAGTTCAGGTACTATTATCTCAGTTTTATAGGTGAGGAAACTGAGGCCATGAGAGGCTTGCCATTTTGTACTTAGAAAGAATCTGAAATGGGATTTGTACTCATCTCCTGACCCCAAGTGTAATCAGTACTCTATCAACTATGCCATGATGCCCCTACCCTTGTAAGACCTACAATCTAGACCAGGGGTGGGGAACCTATGGCCTTGAGGCCATGCATAGCCCTCTGGGTCCTCAAGTGAGGCCAAGTCAAAGGACCGCATATCAATATGGCCTCGAGGCCACAGGTTCCCCACCCCGTATCTAGACATCTTAAGGGCACAAGGCTATGGAAGGGGTGAAAATGCTTCCCCTTCAAAATGTACTTATTATTCAATGTTGACAGTACTCCTCAGTCTAGATACAACTGCATACTGCCACATGCTGTGTTATATTTTTTTTTCCTATAACATCGTTCTAGCCACTATGATCATTCATAAACAAACTGGCAGAGGCTTAGGTACTCACAGATATGAGCCTACTAATCACCTCCCTAGGTACCGTTTGCTGAACTGCCATTTCTTTCAGCAACTTACTTTCAGCTGCCATGTGCCTGCCAATTTTGCCTAATCCCATCTTACTTTTATCATCCTTAGGCCCAGTCTACTTAGAAAACCAAAGCAAAGAACCTATTGTTTCCAACCTGAATCATCTAGGTAACCAAACAAAATAGACATTTCTTTAAGAATAGTCTTTCTGAGGATTCTAATTTGTGCATCTGTATAACAAGCAAAAGAAACAAAGCCTGTTGTCCGTTCTTTGCATGGGATTCCATCACTCAACCATTTTTATTGTCCTTGAGTTGTTTTTTTTTTTTGTTTTTTTTTTTCCAGTCATGGGCAACAAGGTATTTTGTTTAAAGCCCATACTTGGTGCACGTTGACTAAGTAATTATTCTAAGATCTCCTGTTCTAATTCTTCCCTCCAGAAAAAAGTTAAGCCAAAAGAAGGTATCATAAAACTTCGAGTCTGTAAAAATAATTCAGTGAAATTGATCTTACAGATATGATAATGACCAGTCAATGTGAGTGTTTTTCAGGCAGTTATGATAGCCTGTGCTGAGACACCCACACACACTTGTGTAGTCTCCGTTGTGATTACAAACATCTGTGAAGTGATCGACTAGAATTAGAGCTACAATCTATGACCCTGAAAAAGAGTTTTTCCTCTGTGTGAAACTCGTTGGCACATGTGGGGATTGAACTGCAAATGTTGGCTTTATTAGCACTATGCCAAGTAGTAATTTTTGGCATGAAAATCATGAGAAGAGTTAAAGACCAAAACAATAGGACAATTGAATTTTCCCTGGGTGAACCCCTAAGTCTCATGGTTTGTCCAAATATCTTAAAATGATGGCTGTAACCAAACAGAATTCAAACTACTTATGTGTAGAAGGATAACTCTCACAAGAATTGTCATTGTTTCACTGAAGTCTTCAGTTGCTTGGTGAAGAAACTGTTAGGGAATCACTTTTTAGTCCTGATACAAAAATAGGAGATATACACATGCATATGAAGACACACATTTCTGCATGCATGTGTGGACTGACATGTTTTATACATGAAAAACAATATCTAGGATGTTTTTGTAAACTAGTTTTGATTTTTTTTTTTTCATTTTAAAATCTGGCCTCAAATCACCTCTGGGGTTATTATGTCTTAGGAGAAAGCTTGCTAATGGATTTAGTGTGCTGGTTTGTTGTGCCTTCTCTTCTCTGACTTACTAATCACTGATTATTTATGTTATTAGGAAAATCAGACATTTTGTGTCTCTCAAGAAACTGTGTTGTACTACTGACAGCAATAAACAGGTACCGTATCCCATCTGCTCTATTTATCATGGCGCCACTGTCATGCGTTAACTTTTCATGGATCTTCTCTTCTTGTCATGTCTTTGGAGTTTGCTATTTGCTAGTCAACTAAAAAACTTCATACAGAAAATCCAGCCCTTATGACAAAATATTGCTACAGAAAATGGTTCTTCATTGAAGCAAACAAAACATGAGTTGTAAATAGAGTGATATCCATTCAGAAAAGTGATTGCTGCATTGTTTAACCAGAATTGCATATTAAGACGTTAAATTTCCAAGTTCATTATTTTCTCAGGCTGATAGTAAAATAAGTGAAATTAATGAGATTGTGACTATACTACCCAAATCAGTTCTTAATCAGTTCACTTCTTCTGATAAAGAGCAGCATCTTTTTTAGCTCGTATGATCATTTGAGAGATTTCTCTCCCCACCCCCAACTATTGTATCAGAAACATGTGACCACAGCAAATCTCCATATCTTTGTTTCTAAAATTGAGTGGTTTAAAAAATAAATTCCTATATTAAGAAAAAAAAAACTTAAGATGGTTATGCTGGTGGTCTTCCCTAAAGTCTTACTTCAATGCCTTGTTGTCATGGTTTAGAGGTTCTTAGGGATTATGTCAGCAAAGTATGCATTTGGACAGGTTCTGCCAAGCTGTCATCTATAGTTCTGAGGACCTACCTAGCTAAGTTTGGAGAGGCCTCACCATCAGGGTGGCTTCACAGAAATGAATATTTCAACCATACTAACTTTTGAAGACCATGTCCTAGGCCACAGAATGGTTATAATCTCCATTGGTGGAGGGTATATTCACAGTAATGAAGATTTCTTAGCCCCAATTTAGTAATTTTTCTGTCTCATACTTGTATTTTTTTATTTTATTACCTATTTAAATATATTTATTAAAAGTATCCAATAAATATAGTAAGTAATGGGATGGTATGTGGCATGTATCTTCTTGCCTTTGTCCTCTTGTAGAACATGCATTGATATTACATTTATAAAGCCAAGCACCTCTTTTGGAATGCCTACATAAATGTACTTGGTGAAACAGTATCTCCTCAAAGTAGAAAATAAGTGTAAACTATTATAAGGCAGAATTAGACAATTAATAGCACCTTTTGGTCAAATATGTTGAAATTTTTATGTATTTGTACTATTAGTCTCATTTAGTCAATTGTTGATTCATTTAAATGTTATATTGGTAAGGTTAGAATGATTACTCTGATCTTATCCTCAGGTTAGTTTCAATGGTATGTTCTGGTTTAAATGGTAACTTACCACACAAAGGAAATTTGGCATAGTAGCTAGAGAATTCCAGGCAAAAAGACCACTTTGGGTCCTATCACATTCTTTTTGGCTTTATCAATTTTTATCAGATGACTAAATTTCCACTTATATATTATGCAGTACAGGTAAAGTATTTTATGAGGCAGCTAGGTGGCTCAGTGGATGGAGCACTGGGACTAGATTCAGGAAAACCTGAGTTCAAATGTGACCTCAGACACTCACTAGCTGTATGACCCTGGGCAAGTAAATTAACCTCTGTTTGCCTTAATTCACTGGAGAAGGAAATGGTAAACCACTCTAGCATCTTTGCCAAGAAAACCTCAAATGTGGTCATATGTTATAGTAACGATTCCTTTTGTGCATGTATTAGATTAGGAAATCACTGTGGTCCCTTCTTACCCTCAAATTCTGTGGTTTTGTGAACAAACTGCTTTCTTTATATTAGGGCCTCTTCTCATATTCGTTTCCATCACCTTGCAGTCATGGAAACCTAATTTTCCCTGGAGGATAATTCATCCCCAGGCATTTTCTCAAGTGCTGGACACATCTTCTCTCATGTCCTCCAACACACTGGGTAGGAGGAAGAATAGGTATCAGTTGAAATAATATATGTAAGATACTTTGCAGACCTTAAACAATATATAAATATTAGTTATCGTCATCATTGTTGTCATCGTCATCATCATCATCATCATCATCAACATCACCATCACCACTTCCAACCTCTTCCCCTGCTGGCAATCTGTCCCTTTTTTGAGTTTCATTCCTTATAGATATCACCCTTTCAAGATCACAAAAGAAACTATCTCCTGGTTCATAGGTCACTCTCTTTCTTTTCTTGAGGAGTTCCATACTGGGCTTATAGTCTTCCTTTCCATTTGAACCCCTGCCCTCGTACCTGAGGATTTCAGGACACACATGTCTAACCCCCTAATCACCCTGCTTTGTCAATTCATCAACCTCTTCAACTCCTGTGGTCTGTACTTTCACTATACCTTAGCCCCACACAGATGGTCATACCTTTGTCCTCATTCTCACTCACTAATATTGTAATTCCATGATACAGTAATCTAAAATACATCTCTCTGTCCATAAAATCCTGACTTTACCATCTTTCTCTGTGCTTCATCCCTCCTAAAACTGTCCTTCATGCTCACCACAAACTTGTCATTCCACTCCTTTATCAGTCCATCAATCCTGTTTTGGTTTCATTTTTCTCCCTTCAAAATCTTAACAATATAGTTGACCAGTTCAACTTTACTCTAACTGCCGCCCTCAAATCCCTTTCTTTACTATCCAGTCATCACTCATCCCTTTCCAAATCCAAGTCCCATATACCTACCCTACCCCCAGATCCAACCTTCTTCCCTTCTTCTCACCTACTACTGAGTGCCAATATAGAAAGTCACAAGTCTACTGAATGAGTATACCATAAATGCATGCTAGCTAATCTCAATTGACCTTTTAATGCTGCAGGTCAGTCCTTTTACTCTGTATTACACTTTCCACATTGGTCAGTTAGCCAAAAAGCATTTACTAAACACCTATTATGTGCCAGGTACTGTGGTAAGTGCTGGACAATGAAGAAAGGTAAAAGACAATCCTTGCTGTCAAGAAGCTGACAGTCTAGTGAGGGAGAAAACATGAAAAACAACTATATACAAACAATATATAGGCAGGATAAATTAATAATAATCTATAGAAGGAAGGTTCTAGGATTAAGGAGAATGAAGGAAACTTCTTATAGAAAGTGGGATTATAACTAGGACTTGAAGGAAGTCAGGTAAGCAAGAAGAGATAGAAGAGGAGGGAGAGAATTCCAGGCATGGGGCCAGCCAATAGAAATGCCCAAAGTTGGGAAATGGAGTAATTGTGTAAAGAACAGAAGGAGTCTTGTGTCACTGGATCACAGAGTGTGGGGAAGAATTTAGAAGACTGGAATAGTAGGAGGCACCAGATTGTGAAGGATTCTGAATGACAGTGTAGCTTATATTTGATCCAAATGTATATTTGATCACCTAGAGTGAGAGGAAGTCACTAGAATTTATTGAATGGAGGGACAAGGTGATGCTGGTGCTTTAGGACAGTCAATTTGATAGCTGAGTGAAGAATGGCCTACAGTATGGAGAGATTTGGGGCTATATTGAAATAATTCAGGTTTAAGGTGATAAAGGCTGCCCCAGAATAGATGCAGTACCAGAAGATAAAAGAAGGTGTATATAAGAAATGTTGTGGGGCAGAGCCAAGATGGCAGAGGGAAAGCAGTGACTTGCTTGAGCTCTCCCTCAAATCCCTCCAAATACCTATAAAAAATGGCTCTAAACAAATTCTAAAGCATCAGAACCCACAAAAAAATGGAGTAAAACAAATTTTCAGCTCAAGACAACCTGGATGGCTGATCAGAAAGGTATATCGCGCTGGCCAGGGAGAGGAGCTCAGTTTGGCGTGGGCGCGCAGGCCTCAGCGAACCTGGAGCAGGCCTCAGAGGACTGAATCACACGCAGCTTGGTGGTTCCCAGACTTCTCAACCCACGAACGCCAAACACAACTTAGAAGGTCAGTGGGAAAAGTCTGACTTCGGTGAGAGAAGAAGCTAGGTCTCAGCCACCCCCAGGGCAGCAGCTGCCTCCTGAGCTTCCAGCCCACAGACTGAGGGGGAATCGAGTGGCTGATCAGAGGGGGATTACAAGGATCTCTTTGCCAGGGCTGAGGCAGGGATGTCTTGCTTTGCCAGTGCTTGGATCTGGGTCACAGTTCTCAGGGGTGGTCCTGGGGCGAGGAGGAGTGCTGGCATGGTACAGCTTGTTTTGGCAGTGGAGAAGAAACAACTCACCCCTTATCGTAGCACCGTGGAAGAATTGAAAATTTTCAGGTCCCTAGAAGTATCTCTGAAAACAAGTGTACAAACCCCCAAAGCTTGGGATAGTACATTCTCCACATTGGAAGCAGACTCTTACCTTAACAAAGAGTTTAAAACTCAAGTAATTGGTTGGGATCATGAGCAAGCAGCACAAAAAGAGTCAGACTATATTATCTTACTTTGGTGACAAGGAAGATCAAAACATACAACCAGAAGAAGAAAACAAAGTCAAAGCTCCTGCATCCAAAGCCTCCAAGAAAAATATGAATCAGTCCCAGGCCTTGGAAGAGCTCAAAAGGGATTTTGAGAAGCAAGTAAGAGAAGTAGAGGAAAAACTAGGAAGAGAAATGAGAGTGATACAAGAAAATCATGAAAAGCAAGTTGACAGTTTGCTAAAGGAGACCCAAAAAAATACTGAAGAAAATAACAGCTTAAAAAATAGCCTAACCCAAATGGCAAAAGAGGTCCAAAAAGCCAATGAAGAGAAGAATGCCCTAAAAAGCAAAATTGGACAAATGGAAAAGAAGTCCAAAAGATTACTGAAGAAAATACTTCCTTAAAAATTAGAATAGAGCAATTGGAAGCTAGTGACTTTATGAGAAATCAAGACACTGTAAAACAAATCCAAAAGAATGAAAAATTAGAAAACAATGTGAAATATCTCATTGGAAAAACAACTGACCTGGAAAATAGATCCAGGAGAGAGAATTTTAAAATTATTGGACTATCTGAAAGCCATGATCAAAAAAAGGGCCTAGACATTATAATTTCAAGAAATTATCAAGGAAAACTGTCCTGATATTTTAGAACCAGAGGGCAAAATAGAAATTGAAAGAATCCACCAATCTC